TTAATTATAAAGTATATAATGCAGACACTGTGCATTAAAATGAAGAAATATTGATGAACAAATTTGTAAGAAATTGTTATCAGTGATTTTAAATTTTAATGAAATATTAATAAATTTAAAATCTATTAAATCATTATCTGATGTTTCATATTCATCATCTAAATTGTTGAGAGAGTGTAATGATTGTTGAGAGATTTCATCTTCAATTGATGAAGAAAATTGATTGAAATATATCTGACATTGAAAATTTTGAGATTTGAAAAACATATTATCTTCTGTTGATAGTTGTGACATGATGAAAAGAAATAGCAGATTGAAAAATATCAGAGATGATAGTAGAATGACTGAGGATTCAAAAAATAACAGTTTTATAATGATCAGACAGATATTTAGAGTAGATGTATGATGTTAAAATCAATCAAATATTTTATATAAACAGAATTGATTTTTCACATAAGATGAAATCATTTCTTTTCAGATTCTCTATGAGATATTATATTGTGAGCATGTGTGGAGTAATTGATTGGTCCAGAAGTTAGCAGGACTTGGCAGAAGTCTAAAGAAGTTTAGTTGATCGCGCTAGAAAATATCGAGAAAAGAGGCTGAGCATGCTGAGATAATTAGGGACTACGCGAGCGCGGAGCAGAATCACGAGGAGAGGAGCGTTTCGTGGGTGCGCGTGGCCACGTGAGGGATTGGTTGCGTAAGCTAACCATTAACGGGTGTTAACCCATCACATATATAATTATTCTCTATTAACAGCTGTAAATTATAGAGAATTCACCTATACAAGTTATATACGGCTGTTTATATATTTTTTATTATGTTTATCTGAGGGATTAAATAGTGTGTTTTTCAAGCTGAGTAAGCGAGCACAAGCGAGCGATTCCAGCTTGTAAGTAATAAGAACAAAAGCAACTGGCAAAATAGGAGAGAGAGGCCATTAAACTCTCCTCTTGAACTTTAATTTGAGGCCTTCTTGTTTCACAAACCAACCCGCCTGTATATTCAGTTCTGCTTTGGGGTCCTCCAACTCGAAATTGAAGTGACGGACAAATTCTGTAACAAGCTTCCGCATCTCTAAAAGGCTGATGTGCTTTCCAATACACACACGGGGACCGGCGCCAAACTTGAGATCGACTAGGATTTTAGTAAAAGAACACGTTACTTCACCAAAAGCAATAAAGAGTCGAAAATCACGTACCGCGAACATATTTCTGTTCCTGTCGGCTAACTCTTCCGGGTTACCTTCAAGCCAGCGCTCGGGTCGGAAAACACCGACATCCATGCCAAACACATGTTTGTTATAATTTATGACCCACGAGTTGACACCAACAACGGTTCCCTTTGGTAAGTATGTGCCACCTAGTGTGAGTCCACCTTCCGGGACGACACGTTCCAATATAAATCCTGTCGGAGGGTGAATGCGCATGGCTTCGTTGATTACAGCCCCACTGCCAGAATGAATAAGTCAGCTGTTGATACTACCTGTTTTCGCTAGACGCGCACGGCGAACCTACAGGTATGTCAATGTCGTGGTCTCTTTGTAGGTCGCTGGCTCGGACAGTCGACCCTCCTCAACTGCGCTATCCACCTCCTGTTGAAGTTTTCGATACGTCGATGGATTCTTACAAAGGTAGTAGAATACAGCCCTCAAGGTAATTGCCGTCGTATCAGAACCGGCAAGACTAGTATCCGTCATCAATCTGTCGGTAGACTGCTTTGACTGGGGTAATGCTCACATATTGGTAGTTGTAATGGCAACAATCTCCCGAGACGATAGTTTTGAAGGAGACGAGTCGTGAACCTCGAATAGAGATGCAAGTATGTCTTTTCGATCAACCGGATTTTGTTTGCGTTCCTTAACCATGGCAATAGCGAACTTTTTGAGTCGCACTTTCAGCCATCACACATAATACCAATACAAAAGCAACAGACGGCAGGGTGCAGAGAATAACTGACCTCTTGGATTTTATTCAATTTCTCATAATTGGAAAAAATTAGAGGCAAAATTGGATTACCCAAGAGAAAATAATGGGCTGTGGGTATCTGTCCGATCTATACAAGAGTCCAAAGCCTTAGTCTCCCCGGTCAGTGCAAGATTGAAACAACTCGCTTACCAGCGAAACATATGACAAAAATTGATCAATCGCGGCAATGTTGTTGTCCACATCAACTCCCGTCTCCAAAAACCCAAGGCTCTTGGAGAAGTTAACCTCTCCAAGAACATCGAATGCAAAGAATTGCATCCATGGTCCAATATCGAGGGCTATTTTGCCATCATTCGAGCGTCCCTCAACCCTTTTCAAAAACAACTCAATACAGCCGTTTACGTATGGTTCTAATTCTGAGAGTGCAGTCATTGAGAAACCCTTGGCTGAAGCTCGTTTCAGCCGCGCATGGTATTCGTTACTCCGCGTCGTGAAAAGGGTGGGCAATTTCTTGCCTTCATAAAGGCCCTCTCCGATGGAATAGAACTCAGACTATTGGACCTGTTACCCATGATCTATGAAAATAAGATGGAGAATGCCGCCTGAGTGTTCAGATGAATTTATATGGGAAGCAAGACACTGCGACCTTACTTTGGGAAAGATATTGGTAAAGTTGTATATCGTCTTTAAGGCCTCAGGATCAGATGCTGATACGTGGTTGGGCCCTATTCGTACTAAAGGGCCATACTTTTCGTGAACCTCGATGTTCCGCCATGCCATATCCTTCTTCAAAACCCTATAAATCTTCCATAGGTTTGAGAAGCTGGCGACAAATGGACCGGGAACATTTCGGAGGCCCGGACTATATCTGGTCCATATACAACTGACGAAGAAGAGAAACGCCACGAGAATAGAGTAGGTTTGGAGATTATCGAACTGGAGGTTGGGTGCAAAAGCACTGATACCGGAGGCCATGATGGGTCAAATCGCAGTTTGGACTGATAGTGGAAAAACAATCATGAATTGATATTTTATGTCGAGTGGTGTTTTGTTCACCCTCAAGAGCATATCGAGAAGACAGATCTGAAGTTGAACGGTATAGAGAGCTATTTTATTTGGCGTTCTATTTCCATGGCAAGGTCAAAATTTAAATAACATTTATAGTCTACTCGTATAAATTCCTCGTTGATTCGACCTTTTTGTCTAAGCCGAGCCTCCCTGTGATTCACAAGAACAGTAACAGTTTAACACAGAAGGAAGTCAGCATTCAAAGTGGGATAGCGATTTATCTGGTCACTCGCGAAAAATGGGTTTTTTTTTTAACAGTCGGGGCATTCAATGTCTATTCCAAACCCATTTGTAGTATAGATTACCACTAAAAATTAGTTGTAATTATCAAATCATGATGAACCGGATTAGGACATTTTCGTGTTGTTGCGTATCCATAGACTGACCAGTACTTATTCTTTGGGTTGTACAACATAAGTTTGTATGCGCAGTGGCTGAGTTGTCATAGATGTAAATCAATCTAGATCATGATCTTCAGTGGAGGATATGGTTTTAAGTCTCGCATCCGGATACGGCAGCTCTCTAGTGACAAATGTGTCAAATGAGTTTTTTATACTAGTGTTACAATGTACACACACCGATCATATTCATTCTATTTGTAATTGAATAATAGAGCTTGTTGATTATTAGAAAGCAATGCATTGCTAGATATTATCATCACTGTGATAAGATAGCACTATATATATATTGACAATGATATCTAGTGATGATATCAAGTGATGCGGTTCCACACTATAATTGGCTTCTGGCCAGTTGAGTGCTGCCCGCGTTCTCCATTACAATCCTGGTTTTATATTATTTTCTGCATAAACCTGAAACAATTCATTCATCAACTGAATTGAGTATAATCTTTTCTCTAAAAAAAAATTATTTACTTTCATAGTTGAGCATTAATCAATAGAATTATTAAGGTTTTAAAATGCCAGTTATTTTATATGTAAGATCATGTATATACACTGTACTTAATCAGTTTTTTTTAGTTGTGTTGTAAACTGTGCAGTGAACAAACTTGCGGTTCACAAAGGCTCCTTATAAATAGTTTAAAAAGGATCTTTTGCTTGTGCTATTGGGCATTGTTTAGTGAGCTAGTGAGCTAGTGAGCAAGCCACAGGCGTTGATCGCCACTAAAGCTCTCTGAAGGGCGATACGTCTGTAATTGAAAAATGGAACGGCTATACGTATTTGCCAGTATAAGTACGGAGTATTTTCAATTTAGATTCTTAGTGTGAGTCAAAACCGTTTTGCAGCGCCATCTGGTAAATGGTACTAGTCAATTCCCAGGCCATGGCGGAGGAATGGATTAAAGTAAAAGTCTGGTTATCAGTCAAACCCAACACGTTATGATGCTACGACCCACAATTTAAGTTAACCTCCCAGCCCTTAATCAATATC